ACACACACACACACACACACACACACACACACACGGAACATGCACATTTGACGTATCAATGTGTACGAACACGTACGCAACGTACGTAACGCATTCAGTATGATAAATTCATATATTGCTATCATTTTTACACAAATATTGTTTTCATATTAACAAAAATCTCCGCTCCAACCAGCCGGATTCGAACCAGCGACCTAAGGATTACTGCGCTACATACACACACTACAGTCCTCCGCTCTACCAACTGAGCTATGGTTGGTGCGCTCGACCGTGAAATTTATTATTTGACAAATTAATCAACCGATATTTTTCCAGTAAGTTACTGTTGTTGGTTCGAGTTCCAGCGCAGATAGGAGAAACTTTTCAGCATTACCGTACTCTCCAAGTTTACCGTAACAGGTACCAAGCTGAGAAAGAACTGATGCATCATTGCTATGATATCGAAGTACCTTATCAGACAAGCTAATTGCTTCTGCACAATTATTTGTCTCATCGAGTAATATCAATAAATTCAACCAAGCTTGTTTATGACTAGGATTTGCCCTGAAAACAAAAAGAACTGAGCTTATATTTTAGTTAGTCCAATAAGTATAAGTATATTAAAAATTTGAATTTGTACTACGAATATAAAAATGAACTGTTTATATGGTAGCATTTTGAATGAAATTTTAATTCATATAATCAAAAAAAGAAACAAATGTGTTAAATTGTTTTCAATTTTGAATAAAAATCTGAAATCAAAAATCTATTTAATTTTTCGAAATATAATTTCTATTTTATCAGTTTCAACAAAAAATTCAATCAATTAACATTTCTACTATTATTTTTCTTTTTCAAATCATTAAACTTTCCTTTTTACCTGGTAATATTTCGCCAAATTTCTTTTGCATGACTTTTTTGATTTTGTTGCAAATACAGTAAGCCCATGTTATATGAGCAATCCGGATACGGAAAACGCAAACTGAGTGCTTGTACGAAGCTATTTTCTGCATCCTAAAGTGTAATTTTAAAAAAAAATTTTTTTAAATTTCACAAAAATTTATGCTTTTTATACAAATTCTCATATGATTCTTAGACAGTATCATCCAATTATTTTATTATTAAAAAAAAAAAATTTATCAAGCTTATTTTATTTTCAGACTTTTTTCCCAAATCAATATTTCATCATCAACTTGAAATTTTTAAAATTAGTTTAAGGTAAAAATTTACCTCAAATTAATCAATTGTTATTATCTTTATGGGATATACGAATTATTTCAAATGAAACATAAATTCAATTCAAAATGTCAAAATGAAAAATTCAAACTTTATATCGTTTTTGTGCTAATTGCGCAAGTCCAAGATTCATCCATGCAGCAGCAAAATTTGGCTTTATTTCGATGGCTTTAAGCAGGAGTTGTTCGGCTTCCACACTTCGATCATATTTAAGATAAATATTTGCTAAATTATTCATTGCATTTTCATAGGTAGGATTTAACCTAAAATTAAAATATAACTGAAAAAAAATTAAAAATATGTATATGCTTAATTAGTAAATAAAAAATTTGACTATTTAAAAAAAATAAAACTAGGACAAAAATTTGCAATTAAAAAAGAAAATATTTTATCAGAAATTATCTAAATTTGTTATATAATTGAACAACAAATTTTGTTATTGTTTGAGCAATTTCATTTAGCATAAAAATTTACCCACAACAAATACAAATTTTAC